TTCAGAAATTCTTAGGACTAGGAAGGAAGTACATTTTTGACCAACACCATCTTCTCACGAAGATGGTCGAAGTCTTCCCGAATGAGAAACTCCATATGACTCTAAAAAAGAGATTCTAAATTGCTATTCACAGTGTCCAGTCCAGCTGTCGACTTAAACATTTACCCCATAATGAATGCATTCAGAAATTATCTCAACTGATAAAGAAGGAGACACCACAAAATCGAAGCTCAATCAGCACGATGGAAGAAATGTAGGTTAACAAGCAGGTGACAAAATGCTAAAAAGAGCCACAGAGTTGTGGTTTTATTTTTCTTTGAATAATAAATTCCCACAAGTTGTCTCTTAGCCTCAAAACTAATACCTGCCTGGGGCTATTTTGAACTCCAAGTATTGCCAATCTAAACATCAGTGACATGTATTTAGGTATAAGGAAAGTAACTTTACTAGTACTAATATAGTACGGAATGAAACTTGCTGCGTAAAGGCAAAGAGATCTTAACGAGATGCACGAGGAGAAGAGAGTACGTGCGCACTAGCCAAACGGGACATGCAATTGGGGCGTGCTCTTTAGTGTTGGCTGCGCACCCATCCCGTCCAATGAAATTTATGACCAATATTGGCATTTGTATAAATGCTGCTACGGGCGCTTACTTTGCATGATTTCGTTCGCACTTGAGACTCCGAGATGGAATAGTAAGTGGTGGCCTTGCCTTTTCTTATCTTTTGTCAAGTACCTTTATTTTGAAGATTTACTTGCCTTTTTATTGAGGAAAATAATGGATATATATGTTTGGATTTATACATTCATTTTCACTGCCATGTTAACTATGTTGATAGGTCATTAAAATAGCCGACCACTTGGTACTAGGAGTTTTCATTAATTTATCTTTGAAAAGTAAAGTTTATGACTGCTTGTACAGACCTATGTTTGTACATATATATATATATATATATATATATATATAATGTTCGTTTATGTTTCATCGTCATTTGAAATTACAAGCTTTCCGTCTCATCATAAGGATAATAAATTGTTTCCTGATATATCTGAAGTAAATTATATTTTATTTTTAACTGTTTATTTTCTTCTATTTGGTTTTCTCTAGTTTATTTCGTATTCACAACTAACATTATACACAACTTATTATTATTATTATTATTAGAATTATTATTAAGGTAGATTTCATTTCTCATGTGTCAATTTCATTGAAATTTATTATTATTATTTTTTAGCGAATTACCTCCTACTGAAAAGCAGAAACGATGCCTAAAAGAGCTAGACGCTCCTCTTCCGATTGGTGTTTGCCATTGTGTTGAATGTTCAAAGTCGAGGAGGATCACTAATGCACCCAGTGAAAATGTGAAGGACGGAAAACCGAATCCCTACTTGACATATTTGAGTGACCTCTCGTAAATCACATATGCCCCCCTTTTTACTACATAATCTCATATAGTATAAATTAATTACTCATAATCGTAGTCTTATGATCTGGTGCAAATGTGGTCGGCAATTCTGCTTCACGGCCCATTTTATGTTATAAACATCCGAATACTTGGAACGGCAAGTATTCTTGATTGCACGCGTATCTTATCAGGGGTAATCGCCAACACAATGATGGCTGACTTTGGTGTATAGTGATTTCTATGCTTAAAAATATTCTAATGTATGCATTTGACACAGATTTCTTGAGTAAATTTGTGGGTGTGTGCGATGACACAGCGCCGAGTCACACGACCAGCCCCAACACGTGGATGGAGCGTCGTAAAGACCAATGAGATTGGACTGCTTGTATTGATTTAAAGAATTAACTTAAAAGTCGATAATAAGGAAGTGATCGATAGATTATTGTTTTGGGGGGAAATGGCCGTTTTCTGCTCTTTGAGAGTAGCATTTACCATCTGAGAGGAAAGTGGGGTTGACGGAATACGCCTTTGAAATGGCGAATTTACTTGAAAGTAAATGGATGAGAATTGCAATCGACTTCGACTTTCATGAGCAGAATTCAGGATTCGCTTGCACTTACGCACTCCCTGAACTTGGCATACCAGTTAAAAGGCGGTGTTTGATAGTTCCTTTTTTACACCCAACATTCAATTTTTCGTTACAATTGCACGGGTGTACTTTTATACAAATCCAATATTCACTTGACATTGATCTTTGAGGTAATTTTGACATTCTTCGTTAGTTGGATAGTTAAGGGCCCTCTTCTAGGATAAAAAACTAGCTGCAGATGAAATCAGGTCAGTTGGTGCGCTAACTACTTCCGTACCTCAATAGTTTAAAATGGGCTAATGGTGCTGATTGATGTAAGGTGCGCTTTAACACCCTGGACGGTGCGGCGTGTGCACGCGCGTGCGGAAACCTCTCAGCCAATCAGCAACGAAAAGGGGCTATAAGGCAGCGTAGCGGTAACTGCTGTTAATAACTAAACTCCACTCGCTTCTGGGTGTTGTGCTTTCCCTCTAAACTTAAACTCCCCGGAGGATTTTTAAGGCTTGGGGCCGGCTTCTTAGTGACTTTATCTTCTGCAACGAGAATGATATTTCCCCACAAATGGGGTGCGCAATAGACATGCCGCCACGTGGTGCACCCTGGGCAACGTACACTCATACGGCAAGTAAGTCTATCACGTGGTGCACCCTGGGCAACGTATACTCATACGGCAAACAAACTGGTGCACCCTGGGCAACGTATACACGGCAAAAGAGTCCGTGGTGCACCCTGGGCAACGTACACTCATACGGCAAAAATGTCTACTATTCGGTATTTGACTTCTAACTTCAACCAACCATGACCCCACTGTATGTGAAATTCGACCACTTCAACAGTACTCATCTTATCCTTCCTCAGCATTTGTGTATGTCTGTCTCTTTACATCTGTGAATCACTCTTCTTTCCCCTCCCCCCTCTCGAATTTTTTCGCTGTGATGTTCCTCTACTCAAATCTCGACTTTTTGCCATTTTGATGTTCCTCCTCCTCTCTAAAGCCCGAAGTCAACTAAAGGGCTAATGATAACTATCAAATCTAAAGGGCTAATGATAACTATCAAAATGCCGTCCGAAGTCAGCTAAAGGGCTAATGATAACTATCAAAACTCCTGCCATTTGAAATATATAAATAAATATTTCTCCAAAATCATTCTTATATGCAATTGTCTTCTTATTAAATTTATTTACCTTGCGTATATCAATAGCGCATGGCATAAATAGACTTATCGGCTTGCAAACATACTCTTTGCTTTAATTCAGTGGCTTTGAGTCATTTGTATTATGGAATTGTCGGAGCGCTTTTGTAATTTCAGCAATTTTTTACGTAGTATAAGAGTCATTGACGGTATCTTAGCAGATAAGAATAATTCTGTGCTTGAATCACATAAAATTCGGATTGAAAATGACAATAAATGGACGAAATTGAAATAGAGTCAAAAAAGTGAGGACACTGGGTTGCCTATTGAACCCAAATTACTCAAAGATTTTAATTTGAATATTAATTAATATCCACATTTGAAAGCATAGTTATCAAAGGTGAAATGAGTGATAGTAATAGCATACGTTAAAAATAATCTACTTAATCAAACTAATTGGCTTAATGGTAAAAACAAGTTTAATATAATTTTCCAAATATTAGTTCACTTCAGAGTGAAGTTCGTCACAAATCTATCAAGGCAATTCAAAGGAGCTATGCTTCCGGATATATATAACCATTGTAAACGATAGTGACTGTTATTAAAATAACACCAATTTAAGGGGCCAAATGCAGTACTAATTCAGACAACAATTTGTCTGCGGGAGTCCTGCCACACTATGTTCTCTGTCACTCATACCGCCGCTAAAGGCTAATATATATTGCAAAAAATTTATTTATTTATTTATTTCAAATGGCAGGCTTTAAGATTGTTATCATCAGCCCTTTAGCTGAATCCTGGCTTTACAGAGGGGAGGAACATCAAAGTGAGAAGAATCCGAGAGGGGGAACAGAAAATCTATTCAAGGCTGTTAAAGAGATAGACAAACACAAAGGCAGAAAAAGGTAAGGTGATTACTGTGGAGGTGGTGGAATATGACATATAGAGGGACCATTGTAGTTTGAAGTGAGAAGTCAACTGCCCCTTAATAGAATTTTTGCCTGTGTATTTGTTGCCCAGGGTACACCACGTGGAAGTTAGTATATCGCACACCCCATATTGCAAACTTAGTCACACTTTAATAACGCATGATCACAATGCTATTATATTTCAATGAAACGTTATAAACTTTGTTCTAAGAATTCAAAATGCTTAAGAAATAACGCAAAATAAGCGAAATTTGTGTATCAATAATAACATTTTTGACATGGTTTTAACAATCTTTACCTTAAAATGGAAAACAAAGACAAAGGTTCTTAAATTATAAAAGAAATTTTATCTAAACGAGTTCGCTTAATTGGGGATGGGCGTTATTCATCATTAAAATCTGCTGCTCGAAAATATTGACTGAAAGAAGGATAGATTATTACTGAATTTCCATTGTTTACCTTTACAAATGCATAATACCTATGTGATAACGCTGCTTAGCGTGACATTGTCAGTCTTGTCGTCATAGAAACTATTAAGTTTTTCAACAATTGAATTATTTCGAGATTCAAACAATTGTCAGTAATTCTGGATTAGATAAGACATACCACTGTATCACATTGTGTCCTTCTCAAAAATGACGTCAATATAAAGAAATCTGATAAAATATTTTCACAAACTTAAAGTTAAAAGTGGCAATAACTTGCAAATGGAAATATCTTGAATGAAGTCATATATTTTTTCTACTGAATTTGGTAAATCAGGAGTAAGTTAAATATTGGAGTAAGAATAATTCCTTAAAGTTTTATAAGAAATTATTTTTAAATAAAAACAGTAATTTATGGTTACTTTATTGTTATCATTATATGCAGATTCTTCATTATAAGTAATTACTGGTTACAAGGTTTCGCGCAATTTTTAATAAGCGCGATTATATATTAAAAATGACGGTTAGATATTTGGAGAGTATTGCGACGAACACCAGTCTTGCTGGTATCAAATTGTTATTTAGGTTAGAACATCATAAATAACGAGCAATTTAGATGGAGAGGAAGCATATACAAAAGTATTTTACTCGAAATTCTCTTTGCTACCGGTTTTTACTGGCTTCTACAATTTATATACCGATTCATGCTTCCAGATCAAGAAAAGAGGTAGGATTTTTTATTATCATAATTTTTTAATAGATCTTTTGAAGCCTTCTGTTTTTATTGTGACGAACTCTGTCAAATAGTTCCAATAGGATTCGTTCTTGGGTTCTATATTGACACCATTATAGGTAGATGGTGGAGCCAGTATCGAACTCTACCATGGCCAGATGAGATTGCAATGTTACTCTGTGCTGTGGTTAATGATGATAATGGTGATGTGAGCAATCATTGTAGAGGAAAACAGCAAATTCAGAAAATACTCAAATACTTGAATCTTGCGTTTGCTATTTGCTTTCGTGAATTTTCAGCGACTGCTCGAAAACGCTTTCCTGCAATGCAATCAATATTAGCTGAGGGTAACTTCATTTTACTTATATGTGCAATGTTATTACTTACTTTTCTTATTAATTCTAAGTTAAATGGGTTTGTAGCATTAGCTGATATTAATTATTAATCGTAGTTTATAATGCTAAATTTACAGAACGGAAATTTTTCTAACAGCGAGAAAGAAAACAGCTTACCTATTGATGATATAGACAACGTTTTCCTTGATATGAAGAAGTCCTCTATTGCGCTATTTGTCTTGAAAAGCATTTGACATCAGAGATCCTAACCTGCAGTGTGTGCATTACCTAAAATTTTGCCACTTGTAATTATTTGAACTTTTTCACGATTAATTTAAATTAATTCAATGAAGTACACGACTTTCTCGAGCCAAATAACCTTCTAGATGCCATACCACTTGGAAAAATATTCTGTCAATTTTTATTTATTTATTTTAGGTTTAATTACTAAGGAGGAACTGAAGGAATATGAATCATCGGGTCCAAATAACAAATCACCACATATTATCCAACTAACCTCTTGGGCTATTGACATTATTCACAATCTCGAGGCAACTGGTTACATTCGTAATAGTCATGCTGTAGAGCTTCTCATCCAGCAGATTCTAAATTATCGTGGGGGTATTGGACTGCTCACTTGTTTCGATTGGATTAGTGTTCCACTCGTCTATACACAGGTAAGGTTTTGAGTACTGCTACGAATAATTCGAATCGCTATATTTTTTGATAAAGTTCTGTCACATAGTAGCTTCCTATTGAGTGAATTATAGGCTTTGAAGAGAGACAACATCGGGTGGGAGGTGGGGGGGGGGAATTCAGATGGGTTTGGGATTTCTGCTTCTTAAACTTTTGTTAATCAAGGGAATAAAAAAGTGCACTTTGGAGGTGGTACGAATCTCCTATAATGTTATTTTTTACCGTGGCATTTTAACTGACAATACGTAAGCAGTTCGCATTTATTTCAAGGCCAATTGCCTACATTCTTCGTGAGAGCTTTAAAATCATACTGTAATTGAAACTATTATGAGTTCAACAACGTTTTTGCCGTTATTCTTCCACTATACCAATTAGATACTTTGCGAAGTAAGCAAACCTAGACTCACGAATTCCAAATGGCAACAGATTAGACCTTATTTGTGAAGCTCATTGAGGATACCCTCTCGTGAAAATTCCAATTTTCAAATTTAATACTTACACGAGTGCTGACTGTCAACTTTCTCGATCAATTGAGCTGTCTAATATGATCCCGATTCATGATACAGTAAGTAGATTTCGGAATCGTTACCCGCGTAATTTGATAGGTGTAATCGATTAGTTTAGTTGAAATTTGGGGTTCAACTGTGAATAATTTAATTAAAAGTCTTAAAATCATCGTCTTTTATTAGTGGTTTCTAAAGGAGTCCACTACCTAAATCCCATCTACTCTTCAGCTATATCCCATCAGTTTGAACCCGAATCCTACTTTGGAGAATGCAGGCGGTCACTGTAGTTATTGTAAATTTTGAGTGTAATCTTTCAACTTAAGTCATCCATTGACGCTTGCACTACAACGCAATTGCATCTAATAAGAAATTATAATTGTGCGTTTCCTTTAAATGCAGCTTGCTACCATATCGGTGTACACTTACCTCTTCGCCTCAGTATTCGCATTACAAAATTTGGAGGAGCCGGCAAGAAGTGAATTTCGTACCAACACCGTTGTCTTCAATGTCCTCTTCTACCTCTGCTGGCTCAAAGTAAACCCATCTATTTCAATATGATTAGCGTCCATTTCATAATATGTTACACTAACATATAACTAAGGAGGTCAAGGCGTTTCTAATTGCTTTGCCTATAGCGACTCTGAGGTCCTTTTGATCAGTCGCATAATATTGTCAGAGAGATTTGATGAAATGGTCTCCACAACAACGAATGATTTAATAGAAGCGCTATAAAATAAAATGAGGGGCGATAGGAAGAGAAGAATTCAGTCATTACATTCCTTATTTGTAAGCAACAGGATTATTGAGATAAATGCGGACCGATATGATTTGTAATAATTTACCACCTTGGTATCTCTTCCGAGCATTATCATTCAACAATATTCCATACCTCTCCAACGCTTCTGAGTTTAGGTAGGTCAAGTATTGATTAGAAGAATCTCAGTCGATAGGCCAACCTGATTGTTTCATTGCATACCAGTAGATACGTATGTATCCAATGACACTTGCATTTCTCATACTCAGTATAAAAAGTATTATTTAGTTTTCCCATCAATATGATCAAATTCAAGTGATTGACAAAAATCTTCTTCCCTTTAGGTCGCCGGAGGCCTAATGAATCCTTTTGGAGAAGATGATGACGATTTTGAAATCGATCGAATAATCGATAGAAATTTAAATGTAAGTAGCATGGCCAATAGCGGCTGTATTTCTCTGTCCTTAATCTGCTTTAGGCCAAACTTATAATTATGAACTTTGTGTGAAAATGTGAGCTTCTGATCACGCACCTACAAGGTCAAATTCTCTCGTGATTTTGAATTTATGTATACTTCCTGACGTCAGAAATGTGAGATTCGGGTTTGTATGGTTGATAAATTTCCCATTTGTATAGAGGGGATTAAATATTTGACATCTATTGAATTCCTTGCTGCTTTTTTTCCTAGCAAACACCTTTCTGTGAATTCAAAGAGAGCAATTTGAATGCTCTTAGAGTGATGATACTGCATTGGAATTTTAGTCATTTCGTGGAGTCTAATGGTAAGAGGGGGAAATATTTATTTATTTATATCAAATGGCAGGCTTTTTGGTAGTTATCATTAGCCCTTTAGTTGGCTTCAGGCTTCGCAGAGGGGAGGAGGAACATCAAAATGAAAAAAAGGTCGAGAGAGGGGGGGAGGAGGGAGAACAGAAGTTTGTCAAAGGTGTTAAAGAGACAGACACAAAGGTATAAAAAGGTGAGGTGAGTACTGTGGAAGTATTCGAATATGACATACAGTGGGGTGATGGTAGTTTGAAGTGAGAAGTCAACTGCCAGTTAATAGACT